TGCATAGGGTCGCTATGAGTCGGAAACGACTCAACGGCACATAACAACAACAATTGTTTTAAGCCATCAGAACTCCTGCTTAGTGTTCAAGCTACATGAAAATAACTTACTGTTACTAATACTGTTATTACTCATTGGATTTTTACCTTTTTAAAATTATTATTATTTGTGTGTGTACTGTCAAATCGGATCTGACCAGTAGAGGAGGAAATTGCCCCTCCTTCTCCAGCAGAGCATCTGGTGGATTCGAACCACATGCACTTGGGATTGCAGTGCAGCTTCTTGTCACTGGGCCACCAGAGCTCCCTTGGTTTTTTAACTTTTGAGATGACATATCAAACTTGATAAAAGTGTAGGAACCCAAAGATATTCTTCTCACCACCTCCTGCTTTCTCTCCCCAACATACACAGTTTGATGTGTGTCTTTCCAGAACATTTCGTATGCCATCTCAGACTTGTTTAACATTGTCTTTTTGTTATAGTGAGCTCTTGTGCTGTAGTCCGTAGAGCGCGATGTTGCTCGCTTCTCAGGAGGAAGGTGGATGGTCTCCCCCACTTGAGATTTACAGCCTCAAAAACCTGCTGGAGGGTCAGCTATAAGTCCGTTGGATTCAATAGCAACAACTTTGGCTTTTGTTAATAAAATGTCAGCTGGCAGTGAATCTTTTTTTTTTTTTTTTATTGTAGTGCCCTTGAGAATGGGAGAGTACAGAGGTAAAAAGAGCAATGAATTTACCATACTTATCAAACACCAGCTGAGAGTTCCGCCTCCGATATGGTGCATGTTGAATTTCAGCTTTGACTATGTATTTTCTTTTCTTTTTCTCCCTTTTGTAGGATATGATGTTTCAGCTTCTCCGAGGCCTGGACTTTCTTCATTCTCACCGAGTAGTGCATCGTGATCTAAAACCCCAGAACATTCTGGTTACCAGCAGTGGCCAAATAAAACTGGCCGACTTTGGCCTTGCCCGGATCTACAGTTTTCAGATGGCACTTACCTCAGTGGTGAGTAAAGAAAGTACTTCTCTTAAATGAAAGTTGGTTTTTCCCCTTTTATATGGCAAGATGTCCCCTTTTGTGTCCCTAGTAATTTCTTCCTGCCTATGATTTGGTGGACAGAAGGTCGGCACTTTGTGCACAGCACATTCTTAAAACTGCAGATGCGTCCAGGCTGGCCTTGTTGTGGGTATGACCCATTGCAGAAACAGCCTGTTGCATTGTGGCCATTAGAAAGGAATCATTTACAAGTTCCCAATGCTTTTTGCTGTAACCACAGTTTTCAAAACTGCATATATAATGTTGGCTTAAGGTGAGAGCGACAGCTCGGTGTCAGGGAGCAGAAAGCTGGAGGAACTTCGCTTGATTTGTCTGCAGCGTCCTTGTTTGGAGAACAGCCAGAGCACCTACACAGGGTGTGTGTGTGTGTGTGTGTGTGTGTGTGTGTGTGTACGCACACTCACTAAAACTGACTCTGAAAGTGAAGAAGAAATTAAATTTATGGTGAACTTGGATGAACCCTGAACATCTAGCACTACTCTCCCGTGTGAAGGTTTTATTCAAGCCAACATAGAAGGAAAAAACACAAAAAAACCCCTAGAACCCACGGGCCCTGTTTTGGCAAAGAATGGCAGTTATAATATCCTGTTCTTTGTCTCATTCAGATGCAAAACCATAATCACTATTTACTTTGGTTAGTTTCTATTTCTTCTTACAATTCAGTTTTTCCAAGGTGGATATTCATGAAATTATGCACCCAGAGTATTAAAAAGAGGGTGCCTTTTAGAACCATGGAGGAAGAGCTCTGATGGCACTGTGGACAAGCACTCAACCAGTAACTGAAAGGTTGAGAGTTCAAACCCATCAGCTGCCTGCTAGAGGGAGAGATGTGACAGTCTACTTTGATAAAAAGGTAGAATCTCGGAAATCCTATGGGGTGGTTGTACCCTATCCTCTATGTGTTTAAGGTGACTCACTGCCACTAGTTTTAGGTTCTGACAACTTCCGTTTGAAAGGCTTTCACGTGAGTTAACTCAGAGAGAATTCCAAGGCATGCCCCTCTACTGTGCTACTTATTTTGTGCAGGCAGATAGAGTAGAGAATCTCTTTGATTTAGTTAAAAGTACAAAAATATTGCTCCCAAAGCTGACTTTAAGAGAAAAAAAATCCTCTTCGGTTAGTGTAATCCTTCATACATAGTTCCTCTTTGCACACAAAGTGGTTCTCACCCAGGGTCATTGCAGCACACGCCTACCCCCCTGAGATGGAGAGAGTGATTATGAAATGTCTGGGGGCTTACACTAAGACTTACAGAGAGATGGGAAGAAAGATGTCCGCTTGGTGGACGTGCTTCAAGAAAGCTAACATTCTGCACAACGAAGAATTATTTACCCCAAATTCCATTAATACTTCATCTGAGAAACCCTGAGGGAGGGATATAAAAATTCAGAGAGAGAAGCTGAAAATTCTCAGAGAGATAACTTGCCTTGGAAAATTAGCCCATTTACAACAGTCTCCGGCTCACAGCACAGGAATATGGGCACTACAACCTAGACATATAGAACACTTCCTTCCCCAGCTTTATACAGCTGGCCCAGGGCTTTGGTGTTTTCACAGAGCATTCCTTGGAGCATGCGGTCATTGTTTAAAGCTAAATCCTGCTTGTTTCCTTTTGCTCAGTGCACATATCATTTCTTTTAAGAAGTCTAGGCCCACGATGATAATAAAGAGGACAGGCTTTAGTTTTGGATAGGTCAACTGAGCCCTTGTATTCTTTAAGAATCACACCAGAAAGGGTTGAGTTCTGTGTTTCCCCAGTGGAAGGGTGAGGTAAGCTGTGGGCTTCCCTAGGAAGTTATTGCACATGTTGTTTCAGGGCCCTGGGGAGAGGTTTGAATAGGCCTTGTGATCTGGAGAGTCATCGGGGGAGCGGATGGAAGGAACCGGTCCCCTAGGGTTCACTAATGAAGGGAAGGGTGAGCAGTGAGACACTTTATTTTTATTTCCACCGGCCCCCCCCCCGAAATGAGCACTAACAACTATAGATAAAGAGAGAAGACCTAGTTGGATTTTGTTTTTATTTTCCCCCCTTTTTTTGCTTATTAAATTTGAGGAATGATAGCCCAACTTGTGCATAGCAACAATTAACATTCCATTCTTGTGGAAAGTTGATATGTTCAGACAGGAAAATGTAGACAAATTATTTCACAGACGGAGAAAAGGGGAGCGGCTGTCATAAATATGTGAGTTTTCTGTATCTAGCTTGTACCGCATCTTCTGTATTTCCTGTGGGGACATAAAGAAACAGCAGCAACAAGGAAAGACACTAGAACAAAATTAGGCCTTTACTTGAAAGAGTGATAGTTATAATTTAGTAGCAATCATGAGGATATGTTTCTAATAGGGTACTGTGTTTTAAAATTTTTTCCAAGGCTTTAATAAACTTTGGTTTTGTATTCTTCAACTTGAAAGAAAAATCCATTTAATGTTGGGATGCAATGATTTACATGCACATAACAGTATATAAAGACTCATCACAGTTTTTTCCTATGAAAATGGCTTTCATTTTTCATATTCTTAAAGTGAAAAAGACAACATTCCACTTCCTGGACATAAACATTTGAAATGGATTATGTCATATAGGAACTAAGACTTAATTTGTGGAATGTTGAAGGAACTAGATAATTAAACCAACTCGAAACGGACATCTTACAGTTATGAGAAAATTTAACTTATTTCTGACCTCTCAATGCCTGATCAGATGTCCCTGTCTACTACCCCCTGCAATCCTGGGCAGCTCAAGTCAGCTGCAAAACTAAAGGTTGTTAGTTCAAACCCATCCAACCCTTGAGAAGAAAGGCCTGGAAATCTGCCTCAGTGACAAGAATTACAGCCATGAAAGCACTGTGGCAGTTCTGCTCTATAATTAGCACAAGGGGCTGCCCTGGGTTGGAATTTACTCACCAGCACCAGATTTTATATAGGGTTTTTATTGTACCTCCTGCAAAATTAATCTCTCCTCCTGCTCTGGTGTTATCTGTGTATGGCTTATCAGTATCTTTCAAATACAGCTTTCTATCTTGTTTGCCATTATCCTGGGGATTTCTATCCTTTATCAGGCTATAAAATTCTTATTCATTGTCCCTCATAGTGCTAAGGCACAGAGCCTTGTTTGTTTATTATAATAGGCACTTAGATAATTAGTGAATGAGTACTGATATGTAGATATAAGCAATTGGTTTTAATGGAAATCCTGTGTGCCATGGAGTCGGAACCTCAGAGTTGACCCTCCAGTGAGTTGTCAGAGGCATTAAATCTCATGGGAGGAGATTGCCTATCCTTCTGCGTAGCAGCCGATGAATTGAAATCATGTGCCTTAATAGAAATAAGGGAGCAGATTATACTTTTGTGTTCTTATTTCATGTGTTTCTTGGCTGTCTGATCATGCTGTACTGAAGAAGCTTTGCATGTACCTTAAAATTTAATATTTTGTACCTTTGTCCTAATTCCTTGACAGTTACCTGTGTTTGTAATTATGAAAGCTGCACTTTGGTGTTCCAGTCTCATGTTAGGATTGAAAGAATAGTGTGAACTTAGATTCATAGTTTGTGCATTGTATTTATGGCAATCTTTTCTGCTACTTCTCAGGAGAATTACATGTATGACTTGAACTTCCTGCTTAAGCTGAAAGCCGTAGAGATCAAGAAATGCAGGACTATTGTACTTATTTGGATTTTTTTTTTCTTACCCTAAGTATTTTGGAGCGGGGTTTAGGGCTGTTGTGCATAGGGTCGCTATGAGTCACAAACGACTCGAAGGCACATAACAACAACAACAGTAAGTATTTTGTTATTGGGAAGCTTTGGTGGTCTAGTAAGAAGGAACTGCACTGCCAGCCCAAATGTACGAAGTTCAGATTCATTTGCAGGAGAAGGATGAGCAGTCTTCTCCTGTGCGATTGACAGCCTCTAAAAATCCACTAGCCAGTCACCTATAAGTTGGTTACAATTCGATGGTACACAACAACAAACAACAATTTTGTTACTGTTGCAAGCATGAGAAAAGGAATCGTATTCTTCTAGGACAATTCACGTTTTCCAAATGAAAAAAGTGGTGAATGAATAGGCAACTTTCATTATTAGCTACCTGTTTACCAATAAATGTGATTATATAAACCTGTTTAGATCCATGAAAGCAGCTTTTATTTTCGGCTTCTTTCTGAAAGATTTAGAATTTTTTCTCATATGACCTAACCCTGGGAGGTACCATTTATCAGTCCATGATGAGGCACCATATGAATGACTCTGGATTACTGACTGCTCTGTAATCCCTGTAGCAATATGCTCTAATGCCAGTATTCAATAAAAGGCACCTTTCTGGGTTAATAGGAAAAGTAATTGTTTTAGAGAAGTATGCTTTCTAGGCATCTTAGGCTAGACCCTTTCTATTAGTACATCATCAAGTTAATTTCTACTTCTAGCATCCACATGTGACAAGGTATAACTGCCGCCTACGTGGTGGTGTTTTTCTTTTATGAAGATGTGGGAAGCTGTAACCTCTATGGAAGCAGATGACCAGGTGTCCCTCCTGTGCAATGACAGGGTCAGTCCCAGCCACCCAGTTCATTCCAACCACCATCCTTTTGATTACAAGCTCAGTACTTAAACATTGACATAATTAACTGAATTTCTGATAACCTTTCTACACTGGTCTTCAATAATTTGTGTATACTTTTTTTCTTGAGAGATTCTATTCCATTATTTTCATAAATATAATCTATTCATTATTTATTAGGAAGAAATTAATTTAGAGCAGTCATCCTAAGTCTGGACTGTCACTGTCTATGTGATCTGTAACATAGGGCTAGATGATTACCATGTCTACTTTTGAGAAGAGGTAGTCTGCCCCTCACTCCAGCATGATATTCAGTGTCTTTATGGGCTGTTGCTGCTTAATTAATGTACAGTCATATATGCTCATGTACCCATATAGAATAAGTTGTTAATGAT